AGCTGGCTGACTACAGCCAAATCCGATCCAAGGCAATAATAAATACAGAACTCTAGACCAAATGTATCCTTTTGAAAGGGAGGGGGGGGGGAGGGAAATTAACAAATCACTGCCACAGGGGAGTGGAGCAGTACACTCAGGAATGTTGACATTCACAAAGCAGCTTCTTCGCTCCACCTATGCTTTGCAACGCAAACTCCAGGAGCAACTTAAAAGCAGACCATCTATTTGCAGAGAGTAAATCTCTTGGACGGATACCTTATGGTTCACGGAGCCCGGAGGGAAGGTGCTGGGTTGTATACTGTCACTCCCAGCCAACAAAGACAGCTATCTCTTTTGGCACTGGTTCCCAGGGATGAGACTATGTCTAGTGGGGATTTTCTCCAATTCTACAAGCCTTGGCCCCCACCAAAAAGCACAGCCTTGTTTTCACCATCTATCACTCACAGTGAGACTTTCATTTTTTCTTTCAAGCGTCCACAGGTCAAATACTCGGTGTTCCCAACAGTCTGTGAACGTTTTGGACCAGCAGAGGACATTCATTCTGCTCAGCACTCCCTTAACATTTCCATTGTGTTCAGTTTCCCACTCCCCCTACCCAGCTCCCCAGAGAATAACTTCTTCCTTGTTTTAAGAACTTGGACCACGGTCAAGGTTGATGTGTTTCTCCATTTCGCAGGATATTTTCTTCACAAGAGACTCGATAGGGGCTAACAGAAATGTAGGCATGCTCACAGCCTTAGGAGATCAACGGCCATTAGGAACACTACGTTTTTGGTTTTCTGGTGGGTCTTTTGTTTTTGTTTTAGGAAATCAGAAAACAGGCAATACAAAGCATCATAAATACACCTAATGGTGGGTTGGTGGTTAGAAAATTCCCCCTGCAATGCTTTGGCCGGTAATCTACTTAAAAGGCTACTAAAAGCCAATTTTCTGAGGAGCCCTGGTGGCACAGTGGGTTGCAGGATGCGCTTCTAGCAATAAGGTCAGTAGTTTGAACCTACCAGTCACTTCTTGGGAGAAAGATGAGGCTTTCCGCTCCTTTACAGAGTCATAGCCTCTGAAACCAAGGTGCAGTTTTACTGGGACCCGGAATCCACGCTACGGCAGCGAGTGGGTGAGCATTTGTATGCAGGTGAGGGGCAGCTGGGGATGATGAAAAGTGGCTTCATAAAAGAGCGCCCTTTTGACATAAATTGAAATAGGACCATTTTCATTTGGAGGTGGTAAAAGTAGCTGTGATTTCAGCAGCATGCAGGGATTCACAAGGGAGGGAAGGAAGAAAGGACGGAAGAGGAATATGCCATGGGGGGGTAGCATGACAGCTTATTATCCCTCTTCTTGTCCACTCGGAAAAAAAACCCAACTCAGTGCCGTCACGTAGATCCCGACTCACAGCGAGCCGACAGGACAGGGAAGATCTGTCCCTGTGCGGTCTGAGACTGTCAGCTTTACGGGAGTGGAAAGCCTCCTCCACGCCCACTGCAGAATCCTGTCCCCATCCGTTGTCGCACTGCTCCCGGCTCCAGGAACTGACCGCAGACCCAAGAAAATAACCCTGTGCTTTGTGGGGCCATCATTGCCTAAAACAGCATTTACAAGGAAAGAAGCCAGAAACAAGTCTTTAGTGAGACATGCTCTTTTAGTAAACAACTGAATATGCCTCATTTCTGTGAGTGATACAGAAATAATTCTTCCAAACATGAGTCACGTCTCCAGGTTTCCTGCTATATAGGTCTGGGCTATCCCATCAGGAAGGTTTTTCCTTCCACTGATTTCAAGACATTGAAAAAACAAATTCACTGCCACTGTGTAGATTCCAACGTATTCCAACCCTGTCGGACAGGCTAGAACTTTCCCTGGCCTCTCTTTTCTCAAGTGCATTGGCCAGGTTGACTGTATTTCTGTACCATGATAAAGTGTGCCCAGTGTCAAGGACAACCCTCACTCACACCCAGGTTGTGTTCTCCCCCTGCCCCCCACCCCCCAGACTGTGGAAGGGAGTGACTATAAGCAAACAAGTAGCTCGTCACCCCTGCCTAAGCCAGACTTTCCATTACACAGAATCGAGTTCTCTGCTGCTCGCGGGCCTTGCGGAGAGACCCGAAGAGTCGCCATTGTTAAAAACCAAGAGGCACAGAGGGTGAGTCCGCCATACCCCAGAGTTGTGAAATCATTCAGTGCAGGACAATCAGCCTGTTTTAATGACACGAACCACTGTAGGAAATATCAACATGTAGTAAAAGTGTCATCTTAGAACCATTTGTTTGTGCTGTGTGTGTTTGTATTGAGCAAGCCCGTTCCCAAACTAAGGCTCTTGATAGTTCTGAAACTTCTGAGTCAGGACTCGGCCAAATCCCTCTTGGTCCTAAGGGACTCCTATTCGTACTTTTCTGTCAGACAATCCAGACTCAACTTCTGTAAAAATATCCCTCTGTACCTTTAACCTAGATGACAGCACTTTCTACAGAAGAATGGTGGGGAGGTGTGGGTGAGGGCTGTGGTTTAGCCCACCTTCATCTACTTATACACAGGCTTATATTTCAGAAATAGCAGATGTAAAGCAACTATAAAGCTATAAAGAGAAGATTATTTGACTTACATAAGTGTGCCATTTGGTCTGAAGCAGTTTAGTTGATCCTGAGAAGATACAGCCTTAAAACTCCCACCACTGTGTTTGTCCTGTTCCAAACCTTCCTTCTAACTAACCCAGCTCATGATGAGAGCAAGCTGATGTGAAATGCAGGCGAAGTCAGAACTGTTTGGTATCCAAAGGCCCAGTCTCTCCTTGTACCTGCAACCGTCCTGTTCGTTCAACAAACACTTTGCTTGGCTGCTTCTTTTTTTTTCTTCCTTTGCTTAGCGAGTTCAGCAGAACTCACCATCATGACCAAACCCAGACAGATGTCCAGATGCCAGGATACAGGAAACATGGGGTTTTAGATGTCAACCAAGACCGTGCAGCTTTGTCAATGCTAACCAATCGAAGTACTCCAGGGACACCTCCCTCACTGGCAGGGTCTGCGACCTCCTGCAATTCTAGCCCCTCAAAGCACGTTGGCAAGAACATCTAGACTCGGCATTTCTCCACTGTGCAAAACTGGCCTGTAGTGGTTTTTCACTACAACTCTGTGTGTGTGTGTGTGTGTGTGTGTGTGTGTGTGTGTGTGTGTGTGCTGGGTCTCAGTATAAAAGGTATTTCTAACTCTGGGGCAAGGCCTAAAAAGTTTAAGAAACTCTAACCTAAGACCCTGGGTCCTAAAGTCAATCCACAAGAGGTCCCATCCGGGTTCTGCCATGCAAGTTCCATGTAAGCGCTGCGTGGCCTTAGTCAGGTGGCTTGGGCTCTTCAGCCTCCTCATCTGAAAGATTGGAGTGTGTGATCCCTGTCTCTTTGGGGCTACTGGGAGATCAGATAGTGACAGTTTGTCAGATCTGACTTGCAAGGTCAATAACATTCACATCCCTCCTTAGATAAATGCTCACTTAGCAAAATGGAAGCAGATATTGGCTACCTGATACTATCACCTTGATGGCAGTGAGTGAGTGGTGGTTTGGTCTGAAGAGATAAATCCACCATGTGTGAGATGTTACCAAAGGAGAGAAGCAAGTTTTCGCTCTCTGAAACATTGCTCTGCCGATTGAGATCACTTGGTCCTTTTTGCATGGCTTTCTGAGCCAAGTCAGTATTCAAGAAATAGACTGTTATTTCAGAAATCCTTCTGCAAAACAGAAGTAACAGCACAAGGAAAACACTTCTAGGTTGTTTGGTTTAGTTTGGTTCTCCTGTACAGAGTTAAGCAAAATGAATTGTTCACACCTCAGTGCTTCATGCTCATTTACGGTTTCTGACTTCCCAGCCAACGTCTATGATCACACGTCTAAAGATTTTTTTTTAATTATCAAAATGTATCTCAACTCTGGAAAGACCCAGATTCAAGTAGAAGCCAAGATCCTTTTGGGTGTAATGTATAACTATACAAACAAACAAAACCCGGTACTCTGGCAGGAAGAAATCTTAAAACTTTAAACTTGTTAAAATTTTACACATTTTTAAAAATTGGCTATTCGGTTCACAATCCCATTCTATCTGCACTTCGCATTTAGTTTGGGCAGAGTTACTGAGCTCCGAGTAGACAGGTGGAGGAGAGAAAGAGAGGGCTGAGAAAGAAAGTTGGGGCCAAGAAGCCAAGAAACATGAGACCCGGAAGAAAAATAGGTTGTTTAAATTGTCAGTAGCTCCTGGCATCGTGTGTGGAGGGTAACAATTCAAAGCAACTTCGAAGGCTTTTTACTTTGGAGTTCAGAGAGAGGAAGTAGAGGCTTGGCTAACACGGCAGGAACACTGGGTATGGGAAGCGGGGAGGAAGATCTCATAGCAAGGCAAACCGACTCCGCAGATCATGAGAGGGTGATCCGAAATTGCGGCTGAGCCAAAGAAAGAAGGAAGAGGCAGAAGGCTGGATTTTGGCGTTCAAACAAAGAAGATGAAGTCAAGAGAAATCCCCATCGCCGTGGAAAGAACAAACAGTTGAGAAGGACAAGAAATAAGCCTTTCCACAAAGCCTTGCCTGGACCAGGGGCAAAGGAGACGCTTCCTGAGAATCTCGAGACGCCGGCGAGTGGCCTGACTCCAGCGGACCTCACAGAAACATGGGCAGGGCCACCGATTTCATAGTTTGTAAAACATTCATGAGCAGAGGAGCAAGGTTCCCACTGGATTTTCCGAGAAATGTGTTTTCTACGTTTATGTTGATGATCAATGTCACCACGTTCATTTTCCCCCACACCAGATCGAAGATAAACCAAAAAGAGGGAAATGGTGGGGGGGGGGGAGACGGCGCAGAGAGAAAGAGAGAATTGGATAGATTCTTCCCAGCCCAATGGTCCCGACGGTGACTACCCTGGTTCCCCAGTGTCAGTCCTAACTCTTGCATTTCCCAGGCGCCATCACCAAGGCCTAGGTCATTTGCTCTGCCAGCAACGCATTGTCCACTCACTTGCTCTGCCCTTCTGTCCATTTCACTGAGCTGGAGCTTCCAGCAGCAACTCTAGAAGAGAAGAAGGGGTGGGGGTGGGGTGGAATAGAGCATGCATGCTATGGCCAGACCCCCACGATCCCAGAATCCTACGAGAAGCTACTCAACAGAGAGATGACACCTAAATGCCTACTGAAGATTGATTAACCCCCAGACCCTCAGAGGCTGATGGGGGGACGGAAGGCACTGCGGGAAAGCTTGAATGAGCCTGGGCTTTGAAATATCATCTGACCTTAAAGTCCCAGTCGTCAGACACCTTCTACCTAAGTGTGTTTGAGAAGTTACTGAACTGTCTAAACTTGATTCCCTGGCAATGGGCTCAAATGTAACCAGTCTGATGAGGATGGCCCAAGACCGGACAGTGTTTTATCCTGTTATATGCAAGGCCGCTACAGAGTTGGAGCTAACTGGATGGCACCCACAACAACAGGCCTCCTCCCAGTAAAGAGACTGGCTGCGGTGGCCCAGAAGATTACCTTACACGCAGGAGGACTCCAGGAGTCTCCCTTCCTGTCTCCTCAGACTTGCTGGAAAACTAGAGAGTTATTGGACTATTCAAAGCACTTTTTTTCCATTTTCATTTTCAGGTGGGAAGAGTCGGCCCTATCCACACTTGATAGCTGTATTCGCCATTATCGTGGTCGTAGAGCAGTTTGAAGAAAGCCTATTGGCATGGCCATGTAGTTATGACCCTGTCTGAACTGGATGGTCCATAAATTTACACACCCAAAGCATGTTTGGTTAAGAGAGCACGATAGTGAACATCTGTGATATCTGCTAACCAAGTGAGTTAGTTAGTTTATTGTGCCAACCTGGGCGATAAACACATGTGGGGTTAATTGAAGGGCAGAGAAAGAAATGGCTCCATGAGCCTCGCCTTTCAAGTTCTCGGGTCTCTTGCGTTCTGATGGTCAGACCAGAGTGCAGCTGCCTTGGCCAGTTCCCTGCTTCAGCTGGCAAGGTTCATTTCCTGCAAGACATCCCTGAAGAGAAGCCACATGAACCTACCCCGATGCAGCCCTGGGTGCTGGAGCAGCCGTGTGGAGATGGCTGCCAGCGCTGACATGCGTACACAATCACTTATTCGACTTTCCTCCTGCAGTAAGCGTCATAGTGTGTTTTGTGAGATGGAGGACTTTGTGGATTGGTGTTGGACATATGGGTTAATGTTGACTCGTGAGTTTGGGCAGCACTGGGTTGGGATGTTTTCTTGATGTGCACTTAACCTTTATATAAAACTCTCTCTTATACGTGAGTTTCTGTGGGTTTGTTTCTCTAAAGTACCCAGACTAACACACCAAGTAATCACTACACATGGTGCTACTAAATATTAAATAAGAAAAGACTATCTGAAGTGCTCCCATTATTCTCAACTGCCTGGGTCCACACAGCATTTCCTTATTCAAATGCCTGAATAGGTAATGCTCAACACAACCTGTCACCTGGAGGAAGGAAGGAAGCATCTTAATGCCACAGATGGCCAGGCCCATTCTCCTAAAACTGTCTTCTCCCAAGTGAGAGGCACCTTCAATGGGGTGAAACAGGTGTAAGTTACTGGTCAAGGGCAATGGAGCAGAGAAGTCCTTACCCTTTCAGTGTGGCTCCTAAGTTCATCTGATTCCAGGTCATGCACTCGAGCTGGGAGGTCATTTGGTATAAATTGTCACTGTTGGAAAAACATCCAGAGTTAGGCACGGGACTATCCATACATACCCACAGGATGTACTTAGTTTTCCCATCAAGCAATGCTATTTTCACTTCTCCCCCTAGCAACTATCCCCGTGTTTTCCTATCTGACAGAACACTTGAGTCTAAAATGATTTTCATTTCATCCCACGGATCCCCACACAGTAACTCACGTCCAACCCAGCGGGAAAAATGTGAGGGTAATATGGAAGCCTCTAAAAAAAAAAAAATCTCAGTATAGCAAACACTGAGGTTTCCAAAGAGATATTAAACCTTTGAAGAGATGAGGTGAGAGGGAGTGGGACTTTGAAAGGCAACACAGGCTGGATAATTCAACATTAAAATTAAAGGCCTGGAGCTGAAATAAAAAGACAGCAGATTAATTATTCGTGAAAGGGCCATTAAGTTGTTTTAATCGAATGGCTAAGTATCATGTGGATTATGAGGGCCTGGGAAGTCAAAGAGTGATAGGTGATGGATGGTTTAATACCCAAGGATATGACACTTAGAAGAAAGATGATAAACTCTATGCACAACGGAGGGAATGGTTCGTTGTAGGTTTTAAGCCCTAGTGCAAATCAAATGGATCAACACAATTCTCTCATGTTCACTGAGAAGAAACTTACCTTACCTTCCTTAAGACCTTGAAGGAGAAACCACGCCGCCATGTGAACCAACAGAAAGTTGTTCACTTCCTCTTATACGTACCTTATTCTTAGAAAACCAGCTGTCCATCCATTACCAGAAATCTGCTAAATAGCAGGCTCTATCAGGTACCAGTTTAGGCCAGAAGCGAAATGGTTAATTATGAAACTAGAGATGCCAGAGATGAATGGGTTGTCTGGGACCCCTTCAAGGAAGCCCATTACAGAAGAGCCTTTGCACTCTACCTTCATGGCAGGAGTGAAAGGAGATAAGCAGCTTGCTGTATTTGGCGCGCTGTGCACCATCAGATCGCAAATCCTGGACAATCTCTCTCCTGTCAGGACATTCCTTTGGGTTGCCTCGTTGGGCAGAGGCAACACCAAATTTCAATTAAAAGAACGTTTTGTCAGGCCAACATGTGAAGGGGTGAGGGAAATTACAGCCACTTGGAATATTTGAGCGCTAGGCTCACTTTTTTTGCGTCGCTTGATCAATCAGAGTAGAAGCCATCTGCCTCTCATGTAACCACTCTGGAAATTAGGTGGAACTCCCTGGTGGCAAGGACACAGGATAAGGGGGAAGTCAGATCGCAGGAGGGACTTTTATATGAGAAAAGTGAACGGACTTCCCCCTCCAAGTATGTGTACTTTCATTAGGCAGTGCATATCTGGACCCCATCATTCATCCCCATGTCCGACTGGCTATTATGCTCCTACAATATCCTGCATATCAATGAGGGGGAAAATTATTAGTTTCTCCTGTGGCTTCCCATTTGCAGCAATGGCCCGTGCTGGTCTGTGCCACTACATTTCGCAATTCCCAGAATTCTTGCTGTAAGACTAGGGTAATTAATTCCTGAAGGACCCTGATTTTTATTAGAAGTGCCAGCCTGCTGCATTTACCACAGGAGAGTTTCTTGAACTTTCTCTGGGCTGACAGTTCATTAATAAGCAGCCTCCCCCACAATCTCTACTGGTTTTTGTTCTCCTGCGCCTTTTCATCAAGCAATCCATTTATTAATCTTGACATTAATCTCAGCCCACAGCCATTGTATTCCCTAGGCAGCTCTATATTTTTGTCACTGATTTTTTAAAAATTGTTCACCAACGAAAATCACTCAGCCCCAGTTGACAATTTTCTTGGGCCCTGTTGGGACGTGGGGTCTGTCCTCAATGTATTTCCATCATCACATGTGAGTAAGAAAACCATCAGAACTTTCCCGAGGGCTGGGAAACAGGATGAGTGACACAAGTGTACACATGTGTGTTAATGAGCCCTAAACATAGACTTTATGATTTAGGAATTTTCTCACAGACATGTTCGAGAGTGGACAGCTGATTCCTAAGGGTGTCTAGAAGAAATTATTTCAAAGTGAAAATACTTCAAAAACATTTTCTCAGGTCCTGGAAAGCAAATGTTATCAAATAGCAGGGTCCAGGACCTACTTATATACTTATATGTATGCATATATCTGAGTATCCCACAATCCCAAACTCAGTGGATCAATAGTAAATTTGCTAGATCTGTGCTATGCAATATGATAGCTATTGAGCACATGAAAAGTGTCGAGTGCTAGATGTTGAAATGTATCTATACTGAGTTAAATAGAATATTTTAAAATTGATTTCATGATTTTTTTGTTACTGCTACAAAATTTAAATTATGTTAGGATGATGGCATACGTGTGTGTATACACACACAATATTTACACACAAGTTTGGGGAGCTTGAGCAAAACCATGTCTCTGCACTTTCATTTTTTCATGTGTCCAATGGGAATATCTTAATCAGGCTAACCTTATCCGGGGTTCTGCAAGACTCAGACACAATATGGGTAACATCTAGAAGGACTCTTAGTGTAGTCTCTCACTGCCATGGTGTCCTTTCTGACTCACAGCAACGCTGTGTTGGGGTTCAGAGGCTGTCGATCATTACAGAAGCAGACAGCCTCATCTTTCTCCCAGACGGGAGTGGGTGGATTGCAACTGCCAACCAACACTTTCCCAACAGCAACCCCAGGGCTGATGTATATATTTTCCTAATCTATCCTGTTTTGCGCAGCACTTTCAGATATTTCCAATACCTCTCCTAGTTCTGTGGGGTGGGTATAATTACGATCCCCATTTAGCAGATGAAGACCTGAGGCTCAGTGAGGTGAGGTGATGGTCCCGGTCCTAAGATACAGATCTTACCCATCCCTCAGAAGGCACCCAGGGATTATTTGGGCCCTGAGCCTCATTGGAAATAATAAGAGTGAAACAGACAAGAGTTTGGGTTGAAAGAGAAGACGCTGAAAAGAGCGCTGTGACCTACTCCATCTCCACAAAGTGACAAGATGCAAGATCCCCAACAAACATACCTCTTCACTTGGCTAAGATCCCAGGAAGAGCCCCACTTTGAAATTCTGATGGTCTTAATAGCGCTCAGCCTGCAATCCCTCCGAATCAAAGAAAAGTGGGGAGGACTCCAACAAAAGAAAAATCACCATTGTGAGTAGGCTTCCTAGGACACGCAATAGCATCTGAGCACAATTCAAGCCAGCTCCTGCCTACTGCTGGCTGTAATCCTCTGAGCTGCAGCTCAGTGTGTCAACCTGGCTGCCACAACTGCCCAGCTGGAAGTCCGTTGAGGCAACGATAATGACCGCTGCTGGGAGCAAACAAAATGGAAACTAGGACTAAAAATACTGGACTCAAGGTTGCTCCAGCTCTGATCATTTCAGGCAGTCAGCCAACACCCAGCTCTCAGCATGGAAGCCCCCAAGGCAAAAGGCCCCACTCTTCAAGGAATCTATAGCCTCCTGCACTTAGGCATCTAATTATTTAATAACCGCTGTAGGTGTCGGCAGTCTCCTTCCCAGAGGAGCTCAGATTAGCAGGTGGTTTGGCTCAGAGCAGCCACAGTGGTCACGTAGGCATGTTAGTTCCAAGCATCTAACTCTGGCCTGTTCGGAAGTGAACTCTGAAACTGCTGGCTGCCAAAATATATCCCCAAAGTCATGATGTCCTTTATGGTTTTGTTCTGTTTTTTCAAGTAGATCGTTTTAAGAAAAAAAGCCACTTGTTTTCCACATAAGAACTGTTTGAAGCTGAAGGCAAGGGAGAGGGAGAGAGAGTAAAGAAACATCTCTAACTGGGATGAATGCAGGTTGGAGTAAAATAAAAGGAAGTCAGTCCTAGCAACAACAAAAAAAGAGTGTGTGGGGTGGGGGTGGGGGAGAAACTTAAAAGGAAATCGGTAGTAGATCATATGGAGTTTTTTTTGGCCTGGACTGCAGTATTACTGAGTTCTCAACCTCTGCACACAAAAAAAGGAAGAAAAAAACCCCCAACTTCAACTATTATCTGGACTGAAACTCCCCCACGTTTCAAATGCATGTGCTTGAAGCGCATGCAGTGTGTTCACTATATTCAGCAGAACAAGGTCGACAAGTTCATGGCACCGTTAAAATGGAATGGTGGAGGCATGGGTTGTAATTTGGCTTTTTTGCTGGCTGGCAAAAGAGCATCTTGGCAGAAGCAAAAATTTCCCCCAAAACAAAGAAAGGCAGGGGTGGGGGGAACCAAAGACCAGAGATAACTGGCAGCTGTGATCCAAACCCATACTGTGTCCACATTTGTTGTCTTAGCTGGACCCCACCCCAGCAGGGGGACCTCTTCAGGTCACCGCCACCACCTGATAACCCCAGACTCACGCTGCAAGGCCGTGGTCCGACTTCACGCAGCCCTTTTCCTGTGTTCTTCCCTCTAAGGCGCCTGGGAGGCCGCTGGCCAAGAAATGTCTGCACAGCAGACCGTGGTGAATAATTATTTTACAGTCACTCTCTTGGTATTGTAATTCCTCTCCAGCTCACCAGCGGACCCAAAGAAAAACCCTCTGGGGATTTAACTTCTATTAATAAACACGTGGTCAGCACATAAGCTACAGGAATATTTGAGACTAGATTTTCCCCACTCCCTCCCTGGTAACAAATTTTGTTCAAACCGTGACTTTGATGCCACTGGAGCCCCTTTCAGACTTTCTCCCTTCAGACTTGCTAATGTGAGAAACAAGTATCAGCCGCTTGCTCACTTCACATCTTGAATGACATATGCGTAGGTTGGCAAGGGAGAAGAGGTGAGTTAATTACGATTCCATTTTCGTGGGCACAGGTTTATGATTTATGTCGATGTTTAATGCCAGCGTAGATTGTGGATCATGCATGGCCCACTGACGCTGAATCCCAAGATTCTCCAGAAACTCCCTGGCTGATAAAAAGGTTTTGCTCACAGCTAGACTTCCCTCCCTGAAAGCAATCTACCAGGACCAGGCTCCACTGTCCACTTAATGACCAACATTCACAACATTTGTGAATGACCAACATTCAAGGAGAAACTTTCCAGCCAGCAATTATTGCTTCCAGGGCTGGAGTAGGTCTACCTGCTCCCAGGCAGAAGGAGCTGCTAGTCACCAAAGAGTCACCCAGACTCATGGTGACACTCCCCCACCCCCATCCTCCCCCTTACACCACCACCACCACCCCACACACACAACAGGTTCCTTGGTCTGGAAGCTGGCTGAAACCGGTTCGGCATCATCACAACCCCGGGGTGGGGTGGGGCTCAGCTTGAGAAGCAGTGACCAAGAATCTAACTAACTTGGGTGTGTTGCATGGAAGGAGAGAGATCGACCCGTGACCCCAATGAGATGCCCTCATTAAAACTGACATCACAGTCCTTTTCAAGCCAGCGGTGAGGATGAACCCATGAAACGGGCACAGAGGTTGGGGTCTACTAAGAAATCAGCAAGCAGAAGACGTAGAGGGGTCTTGTGAAGGCAGGTTCGGGAAAGAGAGCAGGGAGGACTCAGCTAGCTGCCTTTCCTAGGAAGAACTGGGGAAGAAAAGGTTTGAGCGAGGGCTGAGTTGGCTACCCCTCCCCCACTAAAAAAAGATCATGGTTGTGCGCTCATCCTTCCTGGAGCCTTGCCTCTGAGCAAGCTCAAGTTAGCCTGAATGTAGTTGGTTTGGGGGGTCTTGATGGAAGAGGAAGCAAAGTCTCAAGGTGACTAACTGGACTGAAGTTCATGCGGCAGTTCACACCCAGTGCAAGAAGTGAAGCTGCAGATGCGGGAGTCTGAAAGGCAGGTGGCTGTCTTTCTGGAAAGCCGGTTTGCTCCCAACAATGCCCACCAGTGATCATCCTGTTCTCCCAAACCACTACAAATGTTCTGCTGAAAGCTATGTCTGACACTGTCAGGTAATAGGACTTCATTCACTGCAGGTAACTGAACACTTTCCTCTAGTGAGACCTTTAACAGATGCCACCTTGGCAAAATGAATGGCAACTGGCCAGCCACGGGGAGGGGCAGCAGAGAACAGTAGGCAGGAGGATGGATTATGCAGACTCGATTCCTGATTTGAACACCAGTTCTGCCCTTCGCTGAGTCTCAATAAAACTGGTTAGCCTCTCATGGCCTCAGTTCCCCCTCCCTAGAATAGAGGTGATGATTGCCTATCATTCTATTGATTAAATGAATCCAACAGGCATCCCCCTCTTTATGTAAGTTTGCTTCAGGACACCTCACTTCTATGAAACACCTATACCTACACATTAGTACCTGTTTTCACTACTCACAAAGCAATCTGAAGAGGACTTTCACTTCTATATTAAAAAAGTCCAAAAGTGAATTAACATCTGGTGTGTGTGTTACAGGGAGCCACTAAGGAAGGGGTGCATAGCCCCAGCATCTGTGAGAGTGTGTCAGCGAGCCCCGTGCCTGAGAACTTTGCTCAGCATCCCAGTATCAAGCCTCTTTAGCTCTGGGCTGTGTCTGTGAACACTGCATGTGAGTGTTGCAGTTTCATGCGTTATTTGGTCTAAGTGAGCAGGTTCAATGTTGGGTCTGAGAATGCTCACCGTTTCTCCCTGTAAATTAAGGCTACATGCTTCTTCTCTTTACACAAGTTCAGCTCAAGAACAGGTTCATAGGAGTGCTCTGCTTTCAAACAACAAGGGAAGCCTGGTATTTGTAAAGTGCTTAGGATGGTGCCTGTTGCTGTTGGATACCACTGACTCCATTTCAACTTAGTGGCCCCATGTGGCCACATAGAACTGCCTCAGGGGGCTTCAAGGTCTTGATTTTTAGGGACGCATATTGCCAGGTTTATCTCCAGAGGCATTGCTGGGGGTGGGGGGCGAAGCCTAACCTTTTAGGCTCCTACCTGAGTGCTTAACTTTAGGCTAGTACCTGAGCACCACCAGGCGTATGGCACATAGCAAGTGTCTGTTGACCAGCACATGGGCTAGTTAGCAGGGATAGGAGGAGTAGAATAAGCCAGGTGGTGAGCCCTGGAGTGGCCTGCAATCCCTCCATCATCAGAGAGACAGAAATCAGAAAGCCTGCCTCTTACTCTCATTTGCTATGTGATATCAAGTCTCTGAACGTATTTCCTCCACCCAAAGTGCCTTAATTATAGATAGCGCCCATCTCACCAAGTCGTCATTAGTGTTCAGTGAGACGTGAGTGAAGAACAGCGGTGCAGTGAGTTTGGGTTATTGTGTTCAAGAGATGATCATCCAGTGACAATTGCTGGGTGATCTTCGGACACAACTCTGTCCACCTTCAAGATGGGGCAGGAGGGGAAGAAAGGAGACCACTTCCTGTCACTTCGCCCACGGCATTTCCTAGTCACTGCTGTTCCCATCCATGCACAGATGTGCACAACTGGAATTCCTCCTCAGTTGTTACCTGCCCGGAGCAGGAAGCAAGAACCAGGAGTTGGAGGCTCTTCTCAAAGTAAACTCGCATCGTTCTGATGGTTCAAGGTTGGCATCTGTGCCATTAAAGACCACTGGTGGGGCACAGGTGGCACCGGTGTTCCACTGCGAACGCCGAAGTCAGTGGTTCCAACCCCAACAGCGGCCCTGTGTGAGAAAACACCTGGGGCCCTAAAGCAGTTTCTGCCTGAAAAGTCTGTAAGAGACAGTTCTCTGCTTTTACATTGGGTCTGTGTGATTAAAAATAAACCCGATGCACCTACCAATATCTGTACCAGGACCTTTATTTCAGGCTGGGAAGGGAGGCTAGAGCCTAAGCCTGGGGAGAAGGGGTGAATCCGGGCAAGCTCACTCAAGGAGTCGCAGGCCAAAGGAAGCACAAACCCCTTGTCCCGAGAATGTCCCAATTGTAGATGGAAATGGACGTAAGTGTAATGAGAGGGGTGATTCTGGTTTCCGAGGTCCGATCAGATCTGCTGGGTTTTCAGGTCAAAAGGAAAGTCTCAGCACCAGGGTGCCCAGAAGCAGAGGGGGCGCAGGCCCGTACCTCTCTAGCAGGGAGAGAACGCACACCCCAGCTTGGTCCCCGCAGACGCCGCGGGACAACGGAATGGGGCCCCAGAAGGCTGCTGCCCATCCTCCACGTGCGGGGAGTGAGGAGGTGGGGGGTGGGCAGCGCGGCCCCTCTCCCACTCCCTCTCCCAGGCCAGGCGCTTTTCCTTCCTTCATTACCTCACTGCCTCCTTCCCTTGACGTCAGCCCCGGGTCCTCGCGCCCAGGGGCGGGGAGGCAGGCGGGGAGGAGTTTGGGGCAGTCCGTGTCAGGATCCCCGCCGCACCTCGGGGGAAGGGCAGTGAGGTAATGCGCGCCCATTGGGGGCGGCAAAGGTGGCGCCGCCACTTCCCTCCCCCGCCCCTCCTTCCCACCCGGCGCAGGCCGGTGAGTGTGCCGTGGTTACTAGGCAACCCTATCGGAGGCGCGGGACGCCGGCCAAGTTCACCCAAAGTTGAAGAATAAACTTGGGGCGAGAAGGTGGAGGGGGAGCTAGATCCGAGAGAAAGATGAAGCGACGGGAAAGGCTTGCTGGGGAAAGACGCGGAGCGGGCGCCTAGCTCGCCAGAGGAAGAGGGAAGGGGGGACGGGGTGTGGGAGACAGGGTCTCCCTGGTCCCTGAGGGGCCCTGTGCCATCACCCCCGTGGTCCGCGCAGTCGCGGTCCTGTCCCAGCCAGTCACCAGCACGTGCCACAGGGGAGAAGCCTGTGGACCCAGGGGGCGCGCCCCCACCCAGGTAGTCGCAGAGAGGACCCCGGGGGAGGACGAGGCGAGGGTCAAGGGAGGAAGGGAGGGAAACAGAGAGAAACGGACAGACAGACTGTGTTCCGCCTCCGTGGAGAGGCGGCGAGCCCGTCCCCGCAGCGCTCGGATAAAGTCACTTTTCAAGGTGCCTTTAGACTTCAGCTCCGAACAGCACCCAAACCCCTCGTTAGAGGCCAAGTGCGCAAGGGCTGGAGATGACTTCCTTCAAATCGGAGCGGGGAGAGGAGCCACTCCACCAGCTCCCAGGCTGCTAACGGCGTCCCCGCCGCGCGCCCCTGCCCGCGGCCCCCCGGAGCCCGGCCTACCTGCTGTAGGGAGTCCTCAGCAGCAGCGCCTGGCTCCCCGTGCAGCTGTCGGTGGGGGTGTGGCAGCCGTAGACCGGGGGCGGCACGGAGTACTGCTGCTCGCCTGCGGAAGAGCCCCAGGGCCGGTTAGCGCGGGCGGTCCCCGGGGTGCCAGCCCGCTGGCGGCGAGGCACGTGGGTGAAAGGCGAGGGGATCCTCATCCTGGGCTGGTCCCCTCGGCAGAGCTGGGCGCAGGAAGGCCTGCCCGGATCCCCAGGCCAGCAGAGCGCCGGCCTCCAGATGGTGACCAGTTAGGCTGCTCACCTCAGGGCTCCTTAGTCACCGCGGGGGGTGCCTGGAGAATGGGTCTAGAGTGAAGCTGCCCCTCCTCACCAACGGTGGGGCTGAGGGCATGGGGAGTTTTTGTTTGTTGTTTCCTTAAATAGACAGGAGCCGGGAGCCCTGGAATCGGATTAAATTCTCTAAAATCTCTTTGGCTGTGTGCTTCTGACTTGGGTTAGCAATTCCTGGAGGGCCTCTCCGAAGACAGGACGGGGGCCCTCCACCCAGATGTTCCCCGGTCCTTACCCAGGGAGCCCTGCTGGCTCATGGGGTCCTCGTGCTTGAAGGAGTGGTTAGGGAACTGCGCCGCATGATGTGAGGGCGTGTGGCCATAGCTGGGCGCCCCATCGAAGGTGACCGTACTGTATCCTGCGGGCGCAACCAGGAAAAGCACAGAATCAGCGGGAGTTCGTGAAGATGGGGCGCTGGTCTAAACCAGAACGGACAGAGAAGCGCCCCCCATCCAGGCGGAGAGCCAGGTCCCATCCTTCTAGGCGCTGGGCTGTGACCTGGGTACATAGCTCTCCCCTGACCTCCTTGCCACTTTCCAATTTATTTACTCCATCATTTTTCCACCGGTGACTGTCGCTTCCGCACCGACCCCGCGGCAAGTTAAGTATTAAAACGGTCGCCTGCTCAGTGGCCAAAGTTATTCTCCCCAAAAACAAACACCGTAGCTCTCGCGCCAGGG